CGCCCCTGTCGCGGCCCTGCCCTGCGGCCGCCCACTGTCGCGGCCCTGCCTTCGCCGCCCGTCGCGGCCCCTACCCTGCAGCCGCCCTCTGTCGCGGCCCCTACCCTGCAGCTGCCCCTGTCGCGGCCCTGCCCTGCACCCGCCCCTGGTAAGCACCTGCACTGTCCTGCCGCGCCGCGCCGCTTGCTGCCGCGCCGCGCTACCAGGAACCGAGCCGCGCCGCCCTGCCGAGCCGCGCCGCCCGGCCGAGCCGCGCCGCACTACCGAGCCGCGCTGCCCTTCTGCTTGCACTGCTTCTGCTGCCACTGCTGCTACTGCTGCTACTGCTGCTACTGCTGCTACTGCTGCTACTGCTGCTACTGCTGCTATGAGTTGTCCTCACTGGTCACGCAGACGCTTCCTGGGTTGACGACTTGGCTACGCAGCGGTCGTCACAGGGTTACACCTTCAGTCTTGGTTCCGGCTCTGTCTCTTGGCGGACTACCCGCTCTTCTTCTGTTCTCAGCTCCAGTTGTGAGGCTGAGATCTACGCTGGGGCCATGGCTGCACAGGAGTTACGCTGGCTCACCTACCTGTTGACCGACTTGGGAGAGGCGCCTCGTTCTCCTCCAGTTCTGTACGTCGACAACAAGGCCATGCTGTCCTTGTGTCAGGAGCACAGACTGGAGCACAGAACGAAGCACATTGCTCTGCGCTACTTCCTTGCTCGAGAGTTGCAGCAGCGTGGCCAGCTTCGTCTCGCTTACGTGGCCTCACAGGCCAACACTGCTAATGTTTTCACCAAGGCACTTCAGCCTTGTGATCATCAGCGTTTCTGTACTGTTCTAGGCCTTGTACCTACTGTGCCTCGCTTACTTCTTGACTTTACTTGTCCTGTACTCTATATACATATACCTGCATGCTTACACTTGCTAGGTTGTGTTCACTGTATTGTTTGTTTTCCTTTATATAACTCTGCATGTGAAGTGGCCTTGTGGCCATTTGCTTGTGCTCAGACTGCGTGGTAACTTTGTGATCCACCCTGAGCTTGCTTTGCCTTTTTTGACTGGTCTTGTGACCTCTTGTTCTCCCCCACTTTGCCTATGGGGGTGTGTCAAACTTATATGCTATAGCCTGTTTAGGCTGTAGTGGGGTAGTTCTTATAGGGTACAACACTTTTAGGTTTCCCACTTGTACCCATCTGCTTCCTAGTTCAATCACTCATTCGTTCTATATTCTAACAAACTCGCCACCAGTTAAACCGCGAAACCGCGTATCTGATCTTCTTTGCGTCCGAGATGATGCAGTTCGCGTCGAAGAAGACGTTCATCGTGAAGACCCACGATTGAACTGTCGGACCTTCGCGCTGGCTAGGATCGAAGCAGGGCGGGCGCTGCGGTTTGAGCGGCATCGGCTCATGGAGTTCTTCTTTGCCCGCAGACGCCTCAAATCCGAGGTGGTGACGACCCTCGTGAGGCGCATTCACGGTCGAAACGACCCTGGCTCTCGCCATGCTAGGCATTGACTGGGCGGCGCCATCACTGGCTGCGCCTGAGCGCTGTCCCACGCTGTCGTGATGCGATGGTGTGCCAGACGAGATGACGATTGGTTCACCCGTTTGTGCAGGTGCATTTTCAAGTGTCTGTGTTGGTGCAGGTGCATTTGTCGCTAATTGCTGTCGGGCAGAGTCGAGTTCTGCCGTGAGCGTCGCGATTTCGAGCACCGAATTTTCAAGTTGGCTCACGAGGCGATCAAGCTGTTCCTGCGTCAATGTGGCGACGTTGAATTCGACCATGGCAGGGGTGTCGGGCGAGCTCAGCAGGAGCCTCTGTCGTGGCCGTGCGTGCTTACGAGAGAGCATCTCGAGCGGCGGTGCTTGTTCGTTGAGAGACGTCTACCCCCTCCAAAAATTGAGATAGTGGGGAAGCGAAGGTTACGAGTGCAATTGAGCGAGCGATCAAGAATTGCACTATCGAAGCAAAACAGTACACAGAGCAAAGAAATGAGCGAGAACTATATAGCGAAGGCCATAATGGTAACAGTAACGAACTGTGGGAGATGCGCGACGGGCCAGTGACTGTGGTTGGGACTGAGGTCGAGAATTGTCGAAGCAGAGGCCCGGAGCGCGGGTTACCAGCCGAGCCGTGGGGTTGGGTTGCGACAGGCGAGGTGGCGGGAAAGTGGTCGAGGCGAGTGTCGCGAGTGGTAACGGTGCACAGTGTGGCGAGAATAGTAATGTACGCGCTAGGTAGGGATGCGGCGTAAGGAACCTTACAGTACACGTCGTTTGTGTCGCAGAGCGATGTGCGACGTTGCCACATTCGCAAGCGTCCGGGCTGCGAATCCCAATCATGCCCAACTTGACTCAACGTGTGCTCTAGACCCGCCATAACAAACCAAGATGAAGAGGCATGTGCAAGAAAACATTCGTTCTTAGATGCCTCAGCAGAGGATTGAACTCTGGACCTTTCGCTTACGAAGCGAACGCACTACCACTGTGCTACTGGGGCGGTTCCATATTTTTTGCCGTCAATTTTTATTGCCAATAAATAAGACCAAGCGTACCTTTTCATGACATTTGATCATTCATGGCGACATCCACGGCACGCGCGAAGCTGAAAATTCGGAGCGTGCCGAAAGCCAGTTCCGATGGACCGTCGTCGCCTAGCGCCGCTTCAAAGGCGGACGCCATGCGGTAATGCGCACGTCGTAGACTCTTCACCGTAATACAAGCCTTGTTGTTTCACTCTCGTGCTCTCCAGACTCCCGGCAATGCGCGTCTAGATGTCTGAAGACGGTGCTGTAGGACCAGTCAAGTCTGCCGGTGGCATAAAATGGCTCAATCAGGATTTTCAGTCGCCTGGGTATTGTCCAATAAGGGCTCGAATCGTCTCAGAAAGGTTTGGGTAAACGAGTAGGGTCTGGACGGTAAGGCGTGCGCGCTGTCGTCGCCTTTCCGTCGCTCTTCCGTCCCCACGCTAGGCGAAGGGTGCAGGAGGCGGGCTTCTTTAGCATGGAAACCGGGTTACATGTAGATTCGAGTAGCCGGATAGCTGAGTTACAGACCGACTCGAAGTAGCCCTTGTGCCAATTCCAAGTCCTGGCTTACATTCGCGACAGCCTTTCGCTTCGCTTGCTTTCACCTTTCATCCTTTGAGTTTTCGTCTTCCAACTCGTCCCTTTCGCCTTCCACCTTCTGTCTTTCCCACTCGTCCACGTGTCCCCTTGTTCACCTGTCCACGTGTCCCTCCCCTTGTTCGCGTGTCCCCATGTCCACTCATCCACGTGTGCACACGTGTCTCACTGTGCGGACCTGCAGGGACATGTATGGCTTCACGCTCCAGAGCCAGTACACGGACATCTACAAGACGTATGCTCGTATCTACCAGGTGCGCCCCTGACGCCCCCACATGAGGTGAGTTGCCTTACCCCGGTCCGCTCAGCACACCCCAGAGCCAGTACACGGGCATCTACAAGACGTACGTCTCATCTACCAGGTGCGTTGTGAGGGGCCTCTGTTCTCACGCTCCAGGTGCGTTGTGCGTTGTGAGGAGGCCTAACCCGCTGCACCAGGAGAACACGCTCCAGAGCCAGCCAGCAAACGGACATTTGCAAGACATATGCTCGCATTTACCAGGTGTGCGTTGTGATGGGCTTTATTTGCTTGGTAGGAAATGCGTCTATCGCGCTCCTGAGCCAGCACGGGGATATCTACACACGATGCACTCTCGCATCGCTTCTACCAAATGCGTTTCGATGGGATTCTGCTCACTTGGGTTGCGAGGCAGTGCGTTTCCACCTGCTCCAATGCTGAAATGAAAAACACCACCACTCCACATACAGCCCAATCATGCATGCATCCCACCCACCCACCCACCTCACCCTACCTACCTCACCCAACCCCACTGCAACTCACCCCACTCCACACCACCCCCCACCCACCCCACCATGCCCCGTCCAGGAGGAGGAGCGGTCAGACCGATGGGACAAGTTTCAGTTTTGAAGGTCATACCTTTAACTACCAATCCCCACCCCGCCCTAATCCCCACCGAGCCCAATCCCCACCGAGCCCAATCCCCACCCCGCCCTAATCCCCACCGAGCCCAATCCCCACCCCACCCAACCCCACCCCGCCCTAACCCAACCGACCTCACCCCACCCCACACCACACCCCACCACGCCCCGTCCAGGTGGAGGAGGAGGAACGGTCAGACCGATGGGACAAGTTCTTGCAGCACTGCGACCTCTCCTTCCACGAACCTTCCTCTTCCACCCGAACACCAGCAGCAGCAGAGGCAGAGACAGCAGGAGATGCGTCTGTTTCTGCTTCCCAAGCGGGGAGGGGAGAAGGAGAGGGGGTAGAGGGAGAAGGAGGAGGAGAAGGAGAGGGGGTAGAGGGAGAAGGAGGAGGAGGAGAGGGGGAGAGAAGGAAAGGAGCAGCAGCAGAAGGTGGGGTAAAAGGAGTAGAAAGAGGAGTAGAAAGAGGAGTAGAAAGAGAAGGGGGAGGTGGAGAAGGGGCAACAGCAGGAGGGGGGGATTGGCCGTTAGACAGTCCCGCTTCAGCCCCCACCACCCCTGGAAACTTCCAGGAAGTGAGGCTGGCAGGCGTGGAGTTGACTGTAGACCCTGTGCTTAGAAGGGGGTCTGGGGGAGATGCGAGGTTCAGAGAGCAGTTTCGGGAGGAGCTTGTGATTATAGAGAAGGTGCTTAAAGGGAGAAAGCTGTGGAGGAGGAGAGGAGGGGAAGGGGGCGGGAAGGAGGGGAGTGCGGTCGGTGAGGGTTTGAGTAGGGGTGATAATGCTGCTGGTTCTGGTGCTGGTGGTGCTGTAGCGGTTGTGGATAGTCATGGAGAGAAAGCAAGTGTGGAAGGAGATGCGGGAAGTGTGAGCATAAGTGTGAGTGGAAGTGAGAGTGTGATTGGGAGAGAGAGTGATAGGGAGAGTGAGGGTGGGGGACCAGGAAATGAGGGACAGGTTGATGATCAAGCAAAGGAAGGGTCTGAGGAGGCACAGAGTTCTGGTATGGTCTCTAGTGCGATACAGAGCGGTGTAGATAAGGGAGAGGCGGAGGGAGGCAATGATGCTACAGAAGGAAAGGGAGAAACCCACAATGCTGTGGCTGATAAGGAGGCTTCTTGTAAGGAGGATGTTGGTAAGGAGAATGCTTTAAAGGAGACAGAGAGTGGGGGCAAAGAGGGGGGAGGCAAGGCTGTTTCCAGTATAGGAGCAGCGGATGGGAAGACTGGAGACGAAGGGAAAGAGGGTCTGAAGGCGGCTGAAGAGAAGAAGTTGCAAGATGGTGAGGAGGGTGGTGAGGAGGGTGGTGAGGAGGGTGGTGAGGAGGGTGGTGAGGAGGGTGGTGAGGAGGGTGGTGAGGAGGGTGGTGAGGAGGGTGGGGGAAAGAAGACATCTGTGGAAGGTGGTGAGGGTGGTGAGGGTGGCGCGAAGGTGGCGAGTGGATTGGAGGGAGAAACCAAGGTTGAGGTTAAGGGTAAGGGTTCAAAACCGAAAGCAGAGGAGGAAGAGGAGGAGGAGGAGGAGGAGGAGGAGGAGGAGGAGGAAGAGGAGGAAGAGGAGGAAGAGGAGGAAGAGGAAGAGGAGGAAGAGGAGGAAGAGGAAGAAGAAGAGGAGGAAGAGGAAGAAGAAGAGGAAGAGGAGGAGGAAGAAGAATACGAGGAGGTGGAGGAAGAGGAGGAGGAGGAGGAGGAGGAAGAAGAAGAAGAGGAGGATGAGGAGGAAGAGGAGGAGGAAGAAGAAGAGGAGGAAGAGGAAGAAGAAGAGGAGGAGGAAGAGGAAGAGGAGGAGGAAGAGGAAGAGGAGGAGGAAGAAGAGGAGGAAGAGCAGAAAAAAACAAAGGAAGCAGGAAAAACAGGGGATGGGAAGGAGATTGAGGAAAGCAACAAAACCGCAGCCTCAGCTGCAAAGGATAGCTCCTCTGGAAGTCCCTCTGTGGATAAAACAGGAGACAAGTCAGGAAGCAAGTCAGGAAGCAAGGCAGGAGACAAGTTGGAAGATCTGAAAGGGGAGAAAGAGGAGAAGGAACCTGCTACAACGCAACCGAAACCAGATGGCCCAGCAGCAGCAGCAGCAGCAGCAGAAGCTGGGCAACAGAAAGAGCCGAGTAGCCCATCCAAAGCTCCCAAGCTATCAAAGCTGGCGAGTGTTTTGTCTCCTGCTGCCACGGCCGCTGCTGTGGAGGCGCAGAAAGAAGCAGCAGAGGCGGCTGCTGCTCTAGAAGCTGTGGCGAATAAGACACTGAAAGCTGCGAGGGAGGCACAGGGGGGTGCAGGAGGGGTGGAGGGAGCAGGGGTGGAGGGAGCAGGGGTGGAGGCACAGAGAGAAGCAGCAGAGGCGGCTGCTGCTCTTGAAGCCGTGGCGAATAGGACACTCAGAGCTGCGAGGGAGGCACAGGGGGGTGGGGGAGGGGGAGGAGAGGAAGGGGGAGTGAGGTTGGGAGCAAAGGACGTGCGAGTAACAGAGGGCGACGGGGGAGAGAAAGGGGGAGAGGGGAAGGTTGATGGAGGGGAGGAGAAGGGGAAGGGGGAAGTTATGGAGGGGGAGGGGAGGGGCCAGCAGGGAAAGCAGGAAGGCACGGAGAGGAGTGGCGGTGAGAAGGAAGGAGATGAAACGGTGGGGAGGAAGCAGCAGCAAGGAGATGCAGAGGGGAATGGGAGAGAGGCGGAGGGGGGTGTGGGAGATTCGAAGGGGGATGGGAGAGATGCAGAGGGGGGTGGGGGAGAGGCCGAAGGGAAGGGGAGTGCGATGCGGCAGGCGTTCAACACAGCAGGGTTCCCGATGCTGGGGAGAGTGCTGTGGGGGCGAGAGCTGCACTCGCTGGTGATGGGCGGCGTACCCATGAACCTGAGAGGCGAGGTGAGCGTGTGGACGGGACAGTAGAGTGGTGAGTGAGAGGACGGATGGGAGGATGGGTTTGAGGCGAGAGGTGTTGTAATTTCATATTCTCTCTTCCAACAAGAGGTGGGTGCATCTCCAGTCATGTAGGCATGTTCCCCTGCAGCTCCAGTCATGTAGGCATGTTCCCCTGCAGCTCCAGTCATGTAGGCATGTTCCCCTGCAGCTCCAGTCATGTAGGCATGTTCCCCTGCAGCTCCAGTCATGTAGGCATGTTCATGGCAGCTGCACTCGCTGGTGATGGGCGGCGTGCCCCTGCACCTGCGAGGCGAGGTGAGTGCGTGGACAAGAGGGGTGAGGGAGGGGTGTCCCTTGAGCCATGTACACTCGCACATGGGGGAGGGAGCCGTGATCACAGTGGGGGCGAGAGATGCACTCGCTGATGGCGAGGTGGGGGCGTGCCCATGAATGAACCTGCGAGGTGAGGTGAGTGAGAAAGAAGGACAGGAGGATGGGGTTGATGGGAGGATGGGGTTGATGGGAGGATGGGGTTGATGGGAGGATGGGGTTGATGGGAGGATGGGGTTGATGGGAGGATGGGGTTGATGGGAGGATGGGGTTGATGGGAGGATGGGGTTGATGGGAGGATGGGGTTGATGGGAGGATGGGGTTGATGGGAGGATGGGGTTGATGGGAGGATGGGGTTGATGGGAGGATGGGGTTGATGGGAGCGGCAGGTGCAGCTTCAGCCAGGTAGGCATGATCAATGCAGCTGCACTCTCTCGTGATTGGCGGCGTACGTACGCATGACCCTGAGAGGTGAGGTGAGGTGAGGTGAGGTGAGGTGAGGTGAGTGGGTGGGCTGAAGGGCGAGGTGAGCATCCGGACAGGAGAGAAGAGTGGGTGAGAGTGGGCTAGATGGGCGAGGTGGGTGCAGTGCAGGCATGAACTCTGTCAACTCCTGTGAACCCCTGTCAACCCCTGTGAACCCCTGTCAACCCTTGTGAACCCCTGTCAACCCCCGTGAACCCCCGTGAATCTGTGAATGCGACTTTGCCTGCAGGTGTGGCAGATATTTGTGGGCACCAAGGCGAGGCGGCGAGCAGGGCTGTATGACGCGCTGCTGGAGGAGGCACACCGGGAGGACGACCTGTGCCCCAACAGCACCCTCGCTGACATCTACGCTCGCATTCGTGCCAAAGACGTGCACAACTCGTGGGCCGTGCAGATTGAAAAGGTGAGGGAGGGCTGGGGTCCTGGGGGTGGAGGGAGGGTTGATTGATGGGCATGTGGGAGGGGGAGGAGGAGGCACACGGGGAGGGGAGGACGACCTGTGCCCCAACAGCACCCTTGCTGACATCTACGCTCGCATCCGCGCTAAGGACGTGCACACCTCGTGGGCCGTGCAGATTGAAAAGGTGTGAGGAGGAGGGGGAGGGGATTGAGCAGCAGGGGTTGATGTGCTTGAGAGGGATTCGAGGTGCCAAAGATGTGCACAACTCATGGGCCGTGCAGATTGAAAACGCGCTAAAGAAGTTTGCCCCCTGCTTTCCGTCTCGCCAACTACCAGGACCTTCCGCGTACCTTCCCCGGGCACCCAGCGCTGGACTCCATTGGGCGGGACTCCCTGCGCCGCTTGCTGACGGCGTATGCACGGAAGAACAAGGACGTGGGATACTGTCAGGTGGGTGTGTGCTACCTAGTAACCTGGTAGTAGCTATGCTGTTTGTGAAGGTTTGAAAAAGAATGATTAGTTTCATTAGAGAGGAGAACAAGCATACATGGGTTTGGAAGAGAAGGTTGGAAGGGAAAAGGAGGGAGGTGGGATTGGGGGAGTGGGCCAACCTATGGCCCATTGGGTTGGGTTGACCACACTTTGGGAAGTGGGGCAACCTATGGCCCAATGGGTTGGGTTGGCCTCACTTTGTAAAGTGGGGTACCCTATGGCCCATAGGGTTGCATTTGGGGGCTCCACTACAATTGGGTTGGATTGGCACCCCAAAATGCAAGACTACACCCAAAGTTGGGTGTAGTCCCAACCCAACCGTACACCACAATTGGTGTACAGTCACAAGTGTTAGCATGCTAGAACATAGGAATTCTAACACTGTTAAGTAGACCTGTTAACCTAGTGATTTGGTATAAATAAAAAAGGTTAACAGGTAACTCACTAATCAATAATTTTGGTAAAAGGTTAAGTTGGTAACATCTCCTCTCTCCCGCCCACATGAACACATGATAGGGCATGAACTTTTGAGTCGACTCAAACATCTCCTCTCTCCCGCCCACATGAACACATCACAGGGAATGAACTTCCTTGGTGGGCTGCTGCTTCTGCTCATGCCGGAAGAAAACGCCTTCTGGTGAGAGCGAGTGGAGTGGACGATTTTATATGAGCAGTTCCCTGTGTTGCCATCCTATTGCCTGGCTTTGAAAAAATGCAGGGCACTCTTCCGATTGATTTGATAGGGAGTGCGCCTGTTTTGTGATGATTGGTATGGAGCTGCAACTGCATGAAACCGCTTTGATCTGCCTTGAACTGCCCTGAACCATCTAAACAAAGCCACATGGGAGAGGACTACACTAGGCCTGAGCAACGGGTCAGGTCGGATCAGGTCGAGTCGTGTCGACCCAATCCAACCCTATACCCAGCCCAGCTCCCTGGGTTGATCGGCTGGGTGTGATGGTGGGCTCCATCACACGAGGTATACCCAGCCCGACCCGACCCGACCCGACCCTCGGGTCAAGAGATTTGCCAGTGGGTCGATCGACCCGACCCGACCCCTTTTTAGCGGGTCATGTCGGGCAAAATTTCAGGCCGACCGGATCCGACCCGACCTGGCCTAAGCAAAACCGGCAAAAACAATCGTTAGCGACTGTTGGAGTCATGATGCCTGGCAATCATCTTTATCCCCTCTCTGTTTTGCCAACAATTTCTGAGGCACCTCAATAATCGTGTCAAAGTCAAGCATTCCTTTTACCCCCCTGTTATGCTGACGACTAGTTGCTTTGCTATCCTATCATATCATATCATATCATATCATATCATATCATATCATATCATGCATGGCTGTGCTGCCGCCACGCACCATGATTCATCAGGACCCTGACAGGGATTGTGGATGACTATTTGAAGGGCTACTACTCCCACAACATGATCGAAGCTCAGGTGAGGTTCAGGTGAGGTTCAGGTGAGACTCAGGTGAGACTCAGGTGAGACTCAGGTGAGACTCAGGTGAGACTCAGGTGAGACTCAGGTGAGACTCAGGTGAGACTCAGGTGAGACTCAGGTGAGACTCAGGTGAGACTCAGGTGAGACTCAGGTGAGACTCAGGTGAGACTCAGGTGAGACTCAGGTGAGACTCAGGTGAGACTCAGGTGAGACTCAGGTGAGGTTCAGGTGAGGTTCAGGTGAGGTTCAGGTGCCAATCAGATTAGGTGCCTTTGATGTAATCTCAAAAGGACCCGGACAGCAGTCGCGGACAATTCTCGGAGGGGCCACTACCGTCTACTCCCCCATAGCATGATCGAAGCTTAGGTGAGGTTAGGTGAGGCTCAGGTGAAGCTCAGGTGAGGCCCAGGTGAGGCTGTTAGAGTTGATTGTGTCATGCGGAGTCAGCAGGTGTTGAGACCTTGAGGCGCCTGACTAGGGCTCAATGTGAGCTATCTGTGTGATGTGAACCATTGAACCATTGAACTCTTGTAACTTGTCCCCATCCAGCTCATGCATGGTATTGGTGGGCCCCAACCCAATGGGAAAGTGCCGATGCTCTGTCAAAACGATTTGTTTCAGGTGGGATGGCAACGCCAGAAAGATTCATTGTTTGTTTGTATTTGTCCTGTTTGTATGGGTGCTTACGCTCGTGCACATGCATGCATGAGCGAGTGTGCTTTGCGTTTCATGCTTGGAACTCTTGTAACTTGTCTCTCCTTCGCCCGCTCCCAACCCAACAGGTGGACCAGCTGGTGTTTGAAGACCTCGTGAGGCAAAACTTCCCTCGACTTGGTGAGACTGGCTTGGCCTGGCATGTGTGTGGGTGGGTGTACGTGCGTGTATGTTCCCCATCGCTCGCCCGCGCACAACAGGTGGACCAGCTGGTGTTTGAAGGCATTGTGAGACAAAACTTCCCTCGACTTGGTGAGGCTGGCTTCTCATGTTCCTTTCTCCATGCCTGGCTTGGTCTCGTGCATTAGGAAAAGAATGATTTTTTAGGCGCCTCAAAGAATGGGTGTGCAGAAACCCTAATTCAAACCCACGTTCTCCGCTCTGCTTCATGAACCCCTTTCTTCTAGCGACCCGTTTTGAGATAGCAGCTGCCACGGACTGGACCACATTGGCCCCTGGTTGGTTCCTCACCCTCTCCCTCCCTCTTCCAATCTCCTATTTTTGCCACACGCGCCTATCCCCCTTTGTGCTACATCCCTCTCCATTTCTTCGCTCCCTATCCTCCATCAATGTCGCGCCATCTCCAGCAACGCACTTTGAGAACATGGGTTGCAGCTATCATGGATCACTGGCCCCTGGTTCCTCCTCACGCTCTCTTTCCCGCCTACCCTTCCCTTTGCCGCGTCACTCTCCTATCCCTCTCCCTCACTCTCCTACCCTCTCCTACCCTCTCCATTGTTGCATCACTGCAGCAACGCACTTTGAGAACATGGGGGTGCAGCTGTCGTGGATCACTGGCCCCTGGTTCCTCTCCCTCTTCATCAACGTGTTTCCATGGGAAAGCGGTGAGACGAGTTGTTCTAAAATGTCTCAAGACTGAACCTCTGTTTGTCGGTTTTTTCCCTAGGAAGGAATACTGAGTGAATGGTTGATTTTTCAGATCCTTCATTTCTGAGAACTCTCGCATGTGAATCCAGTATTGTGCATTCATATAGTGTTTTCAGAACACTCTAAGCTGTAGCACCGCTGTGTGTGTGTGTGCCACTCATACGCCAAATGCATCTGCGGATCTTCTTATCATCCAACTATGTCAAATGTGTCAACAGCAATAAACCCAAAACGTAGATTCCGAACAACACTCCTTGACTGCTCTCTATCCCCCCCCCCCTTTTCCCTCCCTTCACCTCCTTCCTTGCTCCCGTCCATTTCCGTTCCTTCTTCCCCCCCAAATCCTGCCTTCCCATGCCACTGCCTCCCCCTACCGACCCAACCTTTCCCTGAGATCCCCAACACGATATGCAACATATATATGCACCGACCTTTTCCACCCTCTCTTCACCCTTCTCCCCTTCCCACTTCTCTCTCCGTCGCGTGTTTTGTGGGACGTGATGGCGTTGCAGATACCAGGCACACAGCAACATACATCCTCCCTCCCCACCCTCTCTCTTCACCCTCCCCCTGTCCCCTCGCAGTGGTGCGCGGGTGGGACGTGATGCTGTTTGAGGGCAAGAACTAGAGATGCACACAGGAACATGTATAAACCCCACTCTCTTCACCAAATCCCCTCCCCCACCCGCAGTGCCGCGTGTGTGGGATGTGATGTTGTTTGAGGGCATGCATTAGAAACAAGCACCCCACTCTCTTCACTCTCTTCTCCCCCTTCCCCCCCCCCCAACTTCTCAGTGCTGCGTGTGTGGGATGTGATGCTGTTTGAGGGCAGTCGCTGCATGCTCTTCCGAGCGTGCCTCGCACTTCTCGAGCAGCACTGTGAGTGATCAGTCATGGTTGGGGGTTCAGAGGGCTTATGTCAACTTTTGAGACGTCTCAAAAGGCGTGCCTCGCGCTTCTCGAGCAGCACTGTGAGTGATCACTTCAGCAATTCTTCCCTTCCCTTCGCCTCTCTTCTCCCTCATTGCTGTTTTCCTTGGATCGCATTTGCGCTTCAAGCAGCAAGGTGCAGCATGGCACCCTTCGTCAAGCTTATGCTCGTCTTTTGTCATCTTGCTCAACCATGGCCCTCCACTCAACTTGTTCATCCCTTGCAATAGACACACAATTTCAGAGCTATCTCTCATCGTGTGCATATAAGAGGCCAAAACGAGGCTTGAGCTAAGCAAGACTGGCTGGCGGCGTCCTCTTGCTGATCCATATCCCCTCCCCCCTTCCGATGCCGATGTTCCCATCTCCGTCCTTCCGTCCCCTCCTTCCTCATCTGCTGGAGCTTTCTTTGCTGATGGAGCTGACTGACTCATGTGAGCAGGGCGAGCACATGTCGACCCTCATCCGCTCATGTGAGCAGGGCGAGCACTTGTCGACCCTCATCCGCTCTCCCTTCACTCTCTGCCCTCCCTCCACTTCCCTTCACCTCTCTCTCCCTTGCACAGCCTTTCTACTGATGGAGCCCACTGAAACAGGCGAGCACATGTCCACCCTCCAGCGCATAGCAGCATCGGCCTTTGATGCCACTCATCCTTCCCTGCCCCCTTCCCTGCCCCCTTCCCTGCCCCCTTCCCTGCCCCCTTCCCTGCCCCCTTCCCTGCCCCCTTCCCTGCCCCCTTCCCTGCCCCCTTCCCTGCCCCCTTCCCTGCCCCCTTCCCTGCCCCCTTCCCTGCCCCCTTCCCTGCCCCCTTCCCTGCCCCCTTCCCTGCCCCCTTCCCTGCCCCCTTCTCTGCCCCCTTCCCTGCCCCCTCTCCCTTTCTCCTTGCACAGCCTTCCTATTGATGGAAATCACTGAGACGGGTGAGCTCATGTCCACCCTGCTGAGCTCGGCAGCATCGGCCTTTGATGCCAGTCAGCTGGTACTGAACGCTTGTGTGGGGTACATGGCTGTGGACGAGGCGTTATTGGAGGTGAGAATGGGTGCGGTGCGGTGCGGTGCATGGGTGCGTGTGCGTGGTGGTGGGTGCAGGAGGACCGTACCATACCGGTCGGAGTAATTCTAGAGAAAAACCTTAAAATATGTTTTAGAGGTGAGGTAATGGCCGCAGGTGAGGTAAGGTAACGGAGGTGAGGTAAGGTAACGGAGGTGAGGTAACGGAGGTGAGGTAAGGTAACGGAGGTGAGGTAACGGAGGTGAGGTAACGGACGCAGTATTGGGAGGTGGGTGGGGAAGACGTGGTGCTTTGAGACCTGAGGTGAACTTCCGAGTCTCAACTCGAAACGCGTTTTCATCTGAGGTGACGTTTGACGAGGTGACTTTTGAGTCGACTCAAGGTGACTTTTGAGTCGACTCAAGGTGACTTTTGAGTTGACTCAAAAGTTGCCTCGTTTTCAGACTGGCAGAGATATTGTCATGTCATCTGAGGTGACGTTTGACTCGACTCAGCTCAACAGACACCTAGTGTGAGTGAGTGAGGTCTCAGGGCTTTTGAGGCTGCTCAAGAAGTCGTCAATTAACTCGCTCTTTTTGAGGCGTCTCCACCTGTTGCAACAATCTTCCGACTTCCAACCCTTCCCCTTCCCCCGGCCCTGAGGCAGAAGCACCGGCCAGCCATCATGTGTCTTCCGGAGTGGAGGAGAGGCAGGTCGCCCTGCAGCACTGCCTGAGTGGCAAGTCACACACACAACAACAACGGGTTTCCTTAATCCGTTCCTCCCTCTCCCCTCTCGTTTCCTCCCCACGGCAGGCCCTGAGGCAGAAGCACCGGCCGGCCATAATGAGGCGGCTGGAGGAGAGGCAGGTGGCACTGCAGCGCTACCAGAGCGGCAAGTCAGAGCGCCTCAAGGCGGAGGCTGCTGCTATCTTTGAGCGCATGTCCCTCCACCCCACTGCTGACGGCCGCCCTGTCACCACCAACTCGCTTGACGACTCCATCCTCCCCTCCCCTTCTGCTGTTGCCGCCTCTGGATCTGGTCCGCTGCTGGATCCGCCGTCTCTGCTCCTGCCACCCTCTACTGACAGCCTCGTTACTAACAATCTTCTCTCTAATAGCAAGAGCGGTAACAGTAGGAATAGTCAACTGCCGCCTCTGCCCACCCAGGGGCGTCAGAAGGGGGCTTTTCAGGAAGGCTCCCAGGCAGTCCCAGCGGCCAATCAGCTCCCGCCACCTGTCCAATTTAAGCCTGGAGCGAGGCTGTTTCCCCTCCCCCCCAGCCCTCCACTCGCCCGGTCCTCCTCCCTGTCAAGGCTCCACGTGTCAGCTCTCCATAGGCCCGTTTGGCACCGCTTTGGCATGCACTTAGGGTGCAGCCCTGCTGCCAGGAACATGGTGGCGCTTTTAGCTAAGCAAATGGAGGAGGAGCACACGCAGCCTCGGGGGCCGCCGAAGCTGTCGCTGCCGAACCGAGTGGCTCGGGCAGTGGCTGTGCTGCTGGAAGCAGCAGGGGTGGATGGTGGGAGAGAGATGAAGGATGGGAGGGCGGGTGTGAATGGTGGTCTGGATATGCCCATGGATGGATCCTCCTGGCCTGATGTGAATGGATGGCCGATATCCACCACCACCGTCTCCTCCGTGTCTTCAGCAAGCATGCTAGCAGGGAGACTAGCAGGGGCAGCAGGTTCGGTCTCCTTCTCCTCCGTGTCTCTCGCCCCATGGCCTGACCACCGCCGCTCGTCCTCCTCTCACGACCTTGCTGCTCTCAACCGCAGCCCCGCCTCTCCCCCCATCCCGCTCCCTGCGAACGGTGTTAACGGTGCCTCTGCTGATGCTGGTGCTACTGGCGATGATGGTGGTGCTCATGACGAGAGTTGCTCCAGAGAGGGAGCAGGTGCAGCAGCGGTGGTGGAACCAGGAGTGGCAGGGGGGGAAGCGGGAGCTGGGGGAGCAGGGGGTGCAGGGGGATCAGGGGGAGTAGGGGGAGCAACAGCAGCTGTACCATCAGCTGCTGCTGCATGGCGCTGGTCCGGATGGGGTCAGGCAGGGTCTCTGTTCGGTGGAGGAGGAGGAGGGGCAACATCCGCTGCTGCTGCCGCTGCTGCTGCTGCAGCTGCAGGAGAGGCGGACGGGCTGGCGGGGGAAGGGGAGGGGCAGGTTGGGGACGGTGCAGAGCTGTTGAAGAGGGATATGACTGCTATGTTGGACCTGCAAGCACAGGTTAGTGTGGGCTGCACAGCACATGCACCTGATGGATCCAGCAGGTGGATTACAGGTGGGTTCCAGGGCAGGTGGGTTTCAGGGCAGGTGGGTTTCAGGGCAGGTGGGTTCAAGGGCAGGTGGGTTTCAGGGCATGGAGTGTGTTCACTCTGCATGATTGCAACATCTTTATCTCCCTCCTTCCTTTCTTCCTCCCCCTCCATCCCCTCTTTCCCCTCCTCCCCCTCCATCCCCTCTTTCCCCTCCTTTCCCTCCATCCCCTCTTTCCCCTCCTTTCCCTCTATCCCCTCGTTCCCCTCCTTTCCCTCCATCCCTTCTTCCCTCTCCTTTCCCTCCATCCCCTCTTCCCTCTCCTTTCCCTCCATCCCCTCTTCCCTCTCCTTTCCCTCCATCCCCTCTTTCCCGTCCCCTCCCTTCCCTTCCTCCTGCCAGGTGACGTGGTTAAAGGAGCAGCTGGTGCTCACTCTGGAGAGCTAAAAGTGGTGCTCATTCCCTCTCGTCCCTCCCTGCCCTCCCCTCCCTCTCATCTCACTTCACCCTCCCTCCCCTGCCTCCCCTCACTGTCATCCCTCCTGCCAGGTGGCGTGGTTAAAGGAGCAGCTGGTGTTCACTCTGGAGAGCCACCACGAGTCACAGACGCGGTGAGTGCACAGCTGTTAGAAATTGACAGCAGTGAGAATCGATCCATGGATTTTTCAGATGACTGACAGATGTTGAATACGAGCAGCTGTTGTTCACTGCCACGAGTCACAGACGCGGTGAGCGCACAGCTGTTAGAAATTGACAGCAGTGAGAATCGATCCATGGATTTCTCATATGACTGACAGAAGGTTGAATATGAACAGCTGGTGTTCATTCTGGAGAGCCACCACGAGTCATAGCAGCAGCAGCTATGTTGACAGCAGCGAGAATCGATCCTTGGACTACTAAAATACTAGGCGGAGGTTGAATTCGAGCAGCTGATGTTCACCCCAAGGAGCCATCACGCACGAGTCACAGCAGCGGTGAGAAGGAAGTGTGATGGCTTTCTGACAGCTGTCAGAAGAATCGATTTAATTCAATGGTGGTGTATATTGAAATGAATGGCCACGTTTGTGTTGTGGAACAATGTTGACAGCAGTGAGAGTCGATCCATGGACCTCTCAAAAGGTCAATGGAGGGTTGAACACGAGCAGCTGGTCTTCACAAGAAGGTCACCACGAGCGTCATTCTTAGCAGTCATGAGTGAGAAGGTCACCACGAGCGTCATTCTTAGCAGTCATGAGTGAGAAGTTCACCACGAGCGTCATTCTTAGCAGTCATGAGTGAGAATCATTCAACGCTATAGTGAGAAGTGAACCCAGCATGGGCAGGTTCACTTGAATTGAACATGACGCGAGACGATTCAATTGTGACGATTGCCCCATTGGTAAGAATTTATTGTAAATAGTGATCCCGACACCACAAGTGCGATACGCCTTTGATAACAGGGGGTGTTCCCAGTGGTAGTGTGTGCAGCGGTGGATGACGTCACCATGCCACTCTGTGTGTCTCTGTGTATGCACAGGGTGGAGGCTCTTCAAACAGCCATGGTGGAAATGGCTCAGAGAGACACACACATGCAGCTCACAGTGAAGGTGGGTTGGACGCACGTACAAACTGTCTTCTTCAGATTCTCTCTGTTCTATCAGTTTTTCTCAATAATATCCATATCTGCTTTGTTTCTCTCTGTGCTAACAAATCTGCTTCATTCCATTTTCTCTCTTAATTCTATCAAATGTCCATATCAGATACGCCCTGTGCTGAATACTCGCTAACAAATCTCCTCAATTAAATCTGCTCCATCAACGCTTCTAAATCCTGCCCTCACCCATAATGCTCATTTCACTCACACTATACCTCTACCTAGCTGGCAGGTAGAGCAACTGAGCAACGAGGTGGAAGTGTTTCGGGGGGAGCTACTGCCCCCCACTCGCCCTTCCATTCCTTTCTGTCCCTTACCCTCCGTGTCCCCCCTCGCGTCCCCCCCCATCCCTCTACCCCGCAGGTGGAGCAAATGACGAACGAGGTGGAAGTGCTTCGGAGAGAGCTGTCGCAGCAGCAGCAGCGGGCAGCAGTGGTGCTGGAGCAAGCGGTCATGGACAAGCAGGTGGGATGAATGGATGGCACAGTGCACACTGTTTCGTTTTGCACCTTAAAACAAGTACAAGAGTAGCCTGTAAGGGACAACCAGATGGCATGGCAGTAGCAGCGGGCAGCAGTGGTGCTGGAGCAAGCGGTCATGGACAAGCAGGTGGGATGAATAACGTGTTTGTTTTTGTATGTACTCGATGTCAAGAGAACAGGGCGAGCAGGCTGTATTGCAGCAGCAGCGGGCAGCAGTGGTGCTCAAGCAAGCTCTTATGGGCAAGTAGGTGGGTGGGTGGGATGAATGAAGTTTTGAGACGTCTCAAAACTAGACGTCTCAAAATTTGAGACGTCTCAAAACTGGGTGGGTGGGATGAATGAAGTTTTGAGACGTCTCAAAACTAGACGTCTCAAAATTTGAGACGTCTCAAAACTGGGTGGGTGGGATGAAGAGCTTTCTGCTGTGTACTCTGTATAATACAGACTGTAATGATTGAGTATAAGAGCAGGCTGCAATGGATAAAAGTATCACGGCAGCAGATTGCAGTAGTGGTGCCGGAGCAAGCTGTCATGGATGACCGGTGTATTTGACTATAATTTACTCTGATTGATTTCCATTGAATTTCACCTCCTCATCTCATAAAATTAGGATGGGATGCAGGGAGAACTGAAAGCACTGCTGCCGAGGGCATTGGTTGGCTCTCCTTTGCTTGACTACGTTCTGGTTATTCTGTATTGACTTTTGTTGAATTGTGTGGACTTTCACCACCTCATTTCATCAGAATTTCACCATCTCATTTCATCAGATTGAGAGGCAGCGAGAGCTGAACGAGGACGATGCTTGGCTCTAGATTGACTCGCGTACTTTTGAGTCGACTCAAAAGTCACCTCGATATACTCATTCGGCTAATGTTGACTGCCTTTGGTTGGCTTTCACTACCTCATTCGATCAGGCTGATTTGCAGGGGGAGCTGAACGAACTGCTGCTGAGGGCATTGGCGTCAAATGAGGAGAAGATGAGGCGGGAGATGGAGGGGCGGCGATAAGATTTGATATTGAGTTTCTACACCATTCTTGCACCCTTGCAGATTGATATTCAGAGGGAGCTGAATGCACTGCCGAGGGCGTTGGCATCGAGGGAGGGGAAGATGCAACACGAGGTGGAGGGGCTGAACGACGGGATGGAAAGAGTGTGGTTGACTTGCGTTGACTCGCATTGACCTGGGTGACTCAAGTGCTTAGCATCCCACTCCCCCTCGCAGATTGAGATGCAGAGGGAGCTGAATGCGCTGCTGAGGGCATTGGCGTCAAAGGAGGAGAAGATGCGGCGGGATGTGGAGGGGCTACATGATAGGGTGGAGGACAAGGAGATGGAGATAGAGAGACTCAAGAGGGTGAGTGCGGGTGTGTGAAACTGTGTGAGAGAGACTCAAGAGGGTGAGTGCGGGTGTGTGAAACTGTGTGAGAGAGACTCAAGAGGGTGAGTGCGGGTGTGTGTAACTGTGTGAGAGAGACTCAAGAGGGTGAGTGCGGGTGTGTGTAACTGTGTGAGAGAGACTCAAGAGGGTGAGTGCGGGTGTGTGTAACTGTGTGAGAGAGACTCAAGAGGGTGAGTGCGGGTGTGTGTAACTGTGTGAGAGAGACTCAAGAGGGTGAGTGCGGGTGTGTGTAACTGTGTGAGAGAGACTCAAGAGGGTGAGTGCGGGTGTGTGAAACTGTGTGAGAGAGACTCAAGAGGGTGAGTGCGGGTGTGTGTAACTGTGTGAGAGAGACTCAAGAGGGTGAGTGCGGGTGTGTGTAACTGTGTGAGAGAGACTCAAGAGGGTGAGTGCGGGTGTGTGTAACTGTGTGAGAGAGACTCAAGAGGGTGAGTGCGGGTGTGTGAAACTGTGTGAGAGAGACTCAAGAGGGTGAGTGCGGGTGTGTGAAACTGTGTGAGAGAGACTCAAGAGGGTGAGTGCGGGTGTGTGTAACTGTGTGAGAGAGACTCAAGAGGGTGAGTGCGGGTGTGTGTAACTGTGTGAGAGAGACTCAAGAGGGTGAGTGCGGGTGTGTGAAACTGTGTGAGAGAGACTCAAGAGGGTGAGTGCGGGTGTGTGTAACTGTGTGAGAGAGACTCAAGAGGGTGAGTGCGGGTGTGTGTAACTGTGTGAGAGAGACTCAAGAGGGTGAGTGCGGGTGTGTGTAACTGTGTGAGAGAGACTCAAGAGGGTGAGTGCGGGTGTGTGTAACTGTGTGAGAGAGACTCAAGAGGGTGAGTGCGGGTGTGTGTAACTGTGTGAGAGAGACTCAAGAGGGTGAGTGCGGGTGTGTGTAACTGTGTGAGAGAGACTCAAGAGGGTGAGTGCGGGTGTGTGTAACTGTGTGAGAGAGACTCAAGAGGGTGAGTGCGGGTGTGTGTAACTGTGTGAGAGCGACTCAAGAGGGTGAGTGCGGGTGTGTGTAACTGTGTGAGAGCGACTCAAGAGGGTGAGTGCGGGTGTGTGTAACTGTGTGAGAGAGACTCAAGAGGGTGAGTGCGGGTGTGTGTAACTGTGTGAGAGAGACTCAAGAGGGTGAGTGCGGGTGTGTGAAACTGTGTGAGAGAGACTCAAGAGGGTGAGTGCGGGTGTGTGTAACTGTGTGAGAGAGACTCAAGAGGGTGAGTGCGGGTGTGTGTAACTGTGTGAGAGAGACTCAAGAGGGTGAGTGCGGGTGTGTGAAACTGTGTGAGAGAGACTCAAGAGGGTGAGTGCGGGTGTGTGTAACTGTGTGAGAGAGACTCAAGAGGGTGAGTGCGGGTGTGTGTAACTGTGTGAGAGAGACTCAAGAGGGTGAGTGCGGGTGTGTGTAACTGTGTGAGAGAGACTCAAGAGGGTGAGTGCGGGTGTGTGTAACTGTGTGAGAGAGACTCAAGAGGGTGAGTGCGGGTGTGTGTAACTGTGTGAGAGAGACTCAAGAGGGTGAGTGCGGGTGTGTGAAACTGTGTGAGAGAGACTCAAGAGGGTGAGTGCGGGTGTGTGTAACTGTGTGAGAGAGACTCAAGAGGGTGAGTGCGGGTGTGTGTAACTGTGTGAGAGAGACTCAAGAGGGTGAGTGCGGGTGTGTGTAACTGTGTGAGAGAGACTCAAGAGGGTGAGTGCGGGTGTGTGAAACTGTGTGAGAGAGACTCAAGAGGGTGAGTGCGGGTGTGTGAAACTGTGTGAGAGAGACTCAAGAGGGTGAGTGCGGGTGTGTGTAACTGTGTGAGAGAGACTCAAGAGGGTGAGTGCGGGTGTGTGTAACTGTGTGAGAGAGACTCAAGAGGGTGAGTGCGGGTGTGTGAAACTGTGTGAGAGAGACTCAAGAGGGTGAGTGCGGGTGTGTGTAACTGTGTGAGAGAGACTCAAGAGGGTGAGTGCGGGTGTGTGTAACTGTGTGAGAGAGACTCAAGAGGGTGAGTGCGGGTGTGTGTAACTGTGTGAGAGAGACTCAAGAGGGTGAGTGCGGGTGTGTGTAACTGTGTGAGAGAGACTCAAGAGGGTGAGTGCGGGTGTGTGTAACTGTGTGAGAGAGACTCAAGAGGGTGAGTGCGGGTGTGTGTAACTGTGTGAGAGAGACTCAAGAGGGTGAGTGCGGGTGTGTGTAACTGTGTGAGAGAGACTCAAGAGGGTGAGTGCGGGTGTGTGTAACTGTGTGAGAGCGACTCAAGAGGGTGAGTGCGGGTGTGTGTAACTGTGTGAGAGCGACTCAAGAGGGTGAGTGCGGGTGTGTGTAACTGTGTGAGAGAGACTCAAGAGGGTGAGTGCGGGTGTGTGTAACTGTGTGAGAGAGACTCAAGAGGGTGAGTGCGGGTGTGTGAAACTGTGTGAGAGAGACTCAAGAGGGTGAGTGCGGGTGTGTGTAACTGTGTGAGAGAGACTCAAGAGGGTGAGTGCGGGTGTGTGTAACTGTGTGAGAGAGACTCAAGAGGGTGAGTGCGGGTGTGTGAAACTGTGTGAGAGAGACTCAAGAGGGTGAGTGCGGGTGTGTGTAACTGTGTGAGAGAGACTCAAGAGGGTGAGTGCGGGTGTGTGTAACTGTGTGAGAGAGACTCAAGAGGGTGAGTGCGGGTGTGTGTAACTGTGTGAGAGAGACTCAAGAGGGTGAGTGCGGGTGTGTGTAACTGTGTGAGAGAGACTCAAGAGGGTGAGTGCGGGTGTGTGTAACTGTGTGAGAGAGACTCAAGAGGGTGAGTGCGGGTGTGTGTAACTGTGTGAGAGAGACTCAAGAGGGTGAGTGCGGGTGTGTGTAACTGTGTGAGAGAGACTCAAGAGGGTGAGTGCGGGTGTGTGAAACTGTGTGAGAGAGACTCAAGAGGGTGAGTGCGGGTGTGTGTAACTGTGTGAGAGAGACTCAAGAGGGTGAGTGCGGGTGTGTGTAACTGTGTGAGAGAGACTCAAGAGGGTGAGTGCGGGTGTGTGTAACTGTGTGAGAGAGACTCAAGAGGGTGAGTGCGGGTGTGTGTAACTGTGTGAGAGAGACTCAAGAGGGTGAGTGCGGGTGTGTGAAACTGTGTGAGAGAGACTCAAGAGGGTGAGTGCGGGTGTGTGTAACTGTGTGAGAGAGACTCAAGAGGGTGAGTGCGGGTGTGTGTAACTGTGTGAGAGAGACTCAAGAGGGTGAGTGCGGGTGTGTGTAACTGTGTGAGAGAGACTCAAGAGGGTGAGTGCGGGTGTGTGAAACTGTGTGAGAGAGACTCAAGAGGGTGAGTGCGGGTGTGTGTAACTGTGTGAGAGAGACTCAAGAGGGTGAGTGCGGGTGTGTGTAACTGTGTGAGAGAGACTCAAGAGGGTGAGTGCGGGTGTGTGAAACTGTGTGAGAGAGACTCAAGAGGGTGAGTGCGGGTGTGTGTAACTGTGTGAGAGAGACTCAAGAGGGTGAGTGCGGGTGTGTGTAACTGTGTGAGAGAGACTCAAGAGGGTGAGTGCGGGTGTGTGTAACTGTGTGAGAGAGACTCAAGAGGGTGAGTGCGGGTGTGTGAAACTGTGTGAGAGAGACTCAAGAGGGTGAGTGCGGGTGTGTGTAACTGTGTGAGAGAGACTCAAGAGGGTGAGTGCGGGTGTGTGTAACTGTGTGAGAGAGACTCAAGAGGGTGAGTGCGGGTGTGTGTAACTGTGTGAGAGAGACTCAAGAGGGTGAGTGCGGGTGTGTGAAACTGTGTGAGAGAGACTCAAGAGGGTGAGTGCGGGTGTGTGTAACTGTGTGAGAGAGACTCAAGAGGGTGAGTGCGGGTGTGTGTAACTGTGTGAGAGAGACTCAAGAGGGTGAGTGCGGGTGTGTGAAACTGTGTGAGAGAGACTCAAGAGGGTGAGTGCGGGTGTGTGTAACTGTGTGAGAGAGACTCAAGAGGGTGAGTGCGGGTGTGTGTAACTGTGTGAGAGAGACTCAAGAGGGTGAGTGCGGGTGTGTGTAACTGTGTGAGAGAGACTCAAGAGGGTGAGTGCGGGTGTGTGTAACTGTGTGAGAGAGACTCAAGAGGGTGAGTGCGGGTGTGTGTAACTGTGTGAGAGAGACTCAAGAGGGTGAGTGCGGGTGTGTGAAACTGTGTGAGAGAGACTCAAGAGGGTGAGTGCGGGTGTGTGTAACTGTGTGAGAGAGACTCAAGAGGGTGAGTGCGGGTGTGTGTAACTGTGTGAGAGAGACTCAAGAGGGTGAGTGCGGGTGTGTGAAACTGTGTGAGAGAGACTCAAGAGGGTGAGTGCGGGTGTGTGTAACTGTGTGAGAGAGACTCAAGAGGGTGAGTGCGGGTGTGTGTAACTGTGTGAGAGCGACTCAAGAGGGTGAGTGCGGGTGTGTGTAACTGTGTGAGAGCGACTCAAGAGGGTGAGTGCGGGTGTGTGTAACTGTGTGAGAGAGACTCAAGAGGGTGAGTGCGGGTGTGTGTAACTGTGTGAGAGAGACTCAAGAGGGTGAGTGCGGGTGTGTGTAACTGTGTGAGAGAGACTCAAGAGGGTGAGTGCGGGTGTGTGTAACTGTGTGAGAGAGACTCAAGAGGGTGAGTGCGGGTGTGTGTAACTGTGTGAGAGAGACTCAAGAGGGTGAGTGCGGGTGTGTGTAACTGTGTGAGAGAGACTCAAGAGGGTGAGTGCGGGTGTGTGTAACTGTGTGAGAGCGACTCAAGAGGGTGAGTGCGGGTGTGTGTAACTGTGTGAGAGAGACTCAAGAGGGTGAGTGCGGGTGTGTGTAACTGTGTGAGAGAGACTCAAGAGGGTGAGTGCGGGTGTGTGAAACTGTGTGAGAGAGACTCAAGAGGGTGAGTGCGGGTGTGTGTAACTGTGTGAGAGAGACTCAAGAGGGTGAGTGCGGGTGTGTGTAACTGTGTGAGAGAGACTCAAGAGGGTGAGTGCGGGTGTGTGAAACTGTGTGAGAGAGACTCAAGAGGGTGAGTGCGGGTGTGTGTAACTGTGTGAGAGAGACTCAAGAGGGTGAGTGCGGGTGTGTGTAACTGTGTGAGAGAGACTCAAGAGGGTGAGTGCGGGTGTGTGTAACTGTGTGAGAGAGACTCAAGAGGGTGAGTGCGGGTGTGTGTAACTGTGTGAGAGAGACTCAAGAGGGTGAGTGCGGGTGTGTGTAACTGTGTGAGAGAGACTCAAGAGGGTGAGTGCGGGTGTGTGTAACTGTGTGAGAGAGACTCAAGAGGGTGAGTGCGGGTGTGTGTAACTGTGTGAGAGAGACTCAAGAGGGTGAGTGCGGGTGTGTGTAACTGTGTGAGAGAGACTCAAGAGGGTGAGTGCGGGTGTGTGTAACTGTGTGAGAGAGACTCAAGAGGGTGAGTGCGGGTGTGTGAAACTGTGTGAGAGAGACTCAAGAGGGTGAGTGCGGGTGTGTGTAACTGTGTGAGAGAGACTCAAGAGGGTGAGTGCGGGTGTGTGTAACTGTGTGAGAGAGACTCAAGAGGGTGAGTGCGGGTGTGTGTAACTGTGTGAGAGAGACTCAAGAGGGTGAGTGCGGGTGTGTGTAACTGTGTGAGAGAGACTCAAGAGGGTGAGTGCGGGTGTGTGAAACTGTGTGAGAGAGACTCAAGAGGGTGAGTGCGGGTGTGTGTAACTGTGTGAGAGAGACTCAAGAGGGTGAGTGCGGGTGTGTGTAACTGTGTGAGAGAGACTCAAGAGGGTGAGTGCGGGTGTGTGTAACTGTGTGAGAGAGACTCAAGAGGGTGAGTGCGGGTGTGTGAAACTGTGTGAGAGAGACTCAAGAGGGTGAGTGCGGGTGTGTGTAACTGTGTGAGAGAGACTCAAGAGGGTGAGTGCGGGTGTGTGTAACTGTGTGAGAGAGACTCAAGAGGGTGAGTGCGGGTGTGTGAAACTGTGTGAGAGAGACTCAAGAGGGTGAGTGCGGGTGTGTGTAACTGTGTGAGAGAGACTCAAGAGGGTGAGTGCGGGTGTGTGTAACTGTGTGAGAGAGACTCAAGAGGGTGAGTGCGGGTGTGTGTAACTGTGTGAGAGAGACTCAAGAGGGTGAGTGCGGGTGTGTGTAACTGTGTGAGAGAGACTCAAGAGGGTGAGTGCGGGTGTGTGTAACTGTGTGAGAGAGACTCAAGAGGGTGAGTGCGGGTGTGTGTAACTGTGTGAGAGAGACTCAAGAGGGTGAGTGCGGGTGTGTGTAACTGTGTGAGAGAGACTCAAGAGGGTGAGTGCGGGTGTGTGTAACTGTGTGAGAGAGACTCAAGAGGGTGAGTGCGGGTGTGTGTAACTGTGTGAGAGAGACTCAAGAGGGTGAGTGCGGGTGTGTGTAACTGTGTGAGAGAGACTCAAGAGGGTGAGTGCGGGTGTGTGTAACTGTGTGAGAGAGACTCAAGAGGGTGAGTGCGGGTGTGTGTAACTGTGTGAGAGAGACTCAAGAGGGTGAGTGCGGGTGTGTGTAACTGTGTGAGAGAGACTCAAGAGGGTGAGTGCGGGTGTGTGTAACTGTGTGAGAGAGACTCAAGAGGGTGAGTGCGGGTGTGTGTAACTGTGTGAGAGAGACTCAAGAGGGTGAGTGCGGGTGTGTGTAACTGTGTGAGAGCGACTCAAGAGGGTGAGTGCGGGTGTGTGTAACTGTGTGAGAGAGACTCAAGAGGGTGAGTGCGGGTGTGTGTAACTGTGTGAGAGCGACTCAAGAGGGTGAGTGCGGGTGTGTGTAACTGTGTGAGAGAGACTCAAGAGGGTGAGTGCGGGTGTGTGTAACTGTGTGAGAGACACTCAAGAGGGTGAGTGCGGGTGTGTGTAACTGTGTGAGAGAGACTCAAGAGGGTGAGTGCGGGTGTGTGTAACTGTGTGAGAGAGACTCAAGAGGGTGAGTGCGGGTGTGTGTAACTGTGTGAGAGCGACTCAAGAGGGTGAGTGCGGGTGTGTGTAACTGTGTGAGAGCGACTCAAGAGGGTGAGTGCGGGTGTGTGTAACTGTGTGAGAGAGACTCAAGAGGGTGAGTGCGGGTGTGTGTAACTGTGTGAGAGCGACTCAAGAGGGTGAGTGCGGGTGTGTGTAACTGTGTGAGAGAGACTCAAGAGGGTGAGTGCGGGTGTGTGTAACTGTGTGAGAGAGACTCAAGAGGGTGAGTGCGGGTGTGTGTAACTGTGTGAGAGCGACTCAAGAGGGTGAGTGCGGGTGTGTGTAACTGTGTGAGAGAGACTCAAGAGGGTGAGTGCGGGTGTGTGTAACTGTGTGAGAGAGACTCAAGAGGGTGAGTGCGGGTGTGTGTAACTGTGTGAGAGAGACTCAAGAGGGTGAGTGCGGGTGTGTGTAACTGTGTGAGGGAGACTCAAGAGGGTGAGTGCGGGTGTGTGTAACTGTGTGAGAGCGACTCAAGAGGGTGAGTGCGGGTGTGTGTAACTGTGTGAGAGAGACTCAAGAGGGTGAGTGCGGGTGTGTGTAACTGTGTGAGAGAGACTCAAGAGGGTGAGTGCGGGTGTGTGTAACTGTGTGAGAGAGACTCAAGAGGGTGAGTGCGGGTGTGTGTAACTGTGTGAGAGCGACTCAAGAGGGTGAGTGCGGGTGTGTGTAACTGTGTGAGAGAGACTCAAGAGGGTGAGTGGGGGTGTGTGTAACTGTGTGAGAGCGACTCAAGAGGGTGAGTGCGGGTGTGTGTAACTGTGTGAGAGAGACTCAAGAGGGTGAGTGCGGGTGTGTGTAACTGTGTGAGAGAGACTCAAGAGGGTGACTGCGGGTGTGTGTAACTGTGTGAGAGAGACTCAAGAGGGTGAGTGCGGGTGTGTGTAACTGTGTGAGAGCGACTCAAGAGGGTGAGTGCGGGTGTGTGTAACTGTGTGAGAGAGACTCAAGAGGGTGAGTGCGGGTGTGTGTAACTGTGTGAGAGCGACTCAAGAGGGTGAGTGCGGGTGTGTGTAACTGTGTGAGAGAGACTCAAGAGGGTGAGTGCGGGTGTGTGTAACTGTGTGAGAGAGACTCAAGAGGGTGAGTGCGGGTGTGTGTAACTGTGTGAGAGCGACTCAAGAGGGTGAGTGCGGGTGTGTGTAACTGTGTGAGAGCGACTCAAGAGGGTGAGTGCGGGTGTGTGTAACTGTGTGAGAGCGACTCAAGAGGGTGAGTGCGGGTGTGTGTAACTGTGTGAGAGAGACTCAAGAGGGTGAGTGCGGGTGTGTGTAACTGTGTGAGAGAGACTCAAGAGGGTGAGTGCGGGTGTGTGTAACTGTGTGAGAGCGACTCAAGAGGGTGAGTGCGGGTGTGTGTAACTGTGTGAGAGCGACTCAAGAGGGTGAGTGCGGGTGTGTGTAACTGTGTGAGAGAGACTCAAGAGGGTGAGTGCGGGTGTGTGTAACTGTGTGAGAGCGACTCAAGAGGGTGAGTGCGGGTGTGTGTAACTGTGTGAGAGAGACTCAAGAGGGTGAGTGCGGGTGTGTGTAACTGTGTGAGAGAGACTCAAGAGGGTGAGTGCGGGTGTGTGTAACTGTGTGAGAGCGACTCAAGAGGGTGAGTGCGGGTGTGTGTAACTGTGTGAGAGAGACTCAAGAGGGTGAGTGCGGGTGTGTGTAACTGTGTGAGAGAGACTCAAGAGGGTGAGTGCGGGTGTGTGTAACTGTGTGAGAGAGACTCAAGAGGGTGAGTGCGGGTGTGTGTAACTGTGTGAGAGAGACTCAAGAGGGTGAGTGCGGGTGTGTGTAACTGTGTGAGAGCGACTCAAGAGGGTGAGTGCGGGTGTGTGTAACTGTGTGAGAGAGACTCAAGAGGGTGAGTGCGGGTGTGTGTAACTGTGTGAGAGCGACTCAAGAGGGTGAGTGCGGGTGTGTGTAACTGTGTGAGAGCGACTCAAGAGGGTGAGTGCGGGTGTGTGTAACTGTGTGAGAGCGACTCAAGAGGGTGAGTGCGGGTGTGTGTAACTGTGTGAGAGAGACTCAAGAGGGTGAGTGCGGGTGTGTGTAACTGTGTGAGAGCGACTCAAGAGGGTGAGTGCGGGTGTGTGTAACTGTGTGAGAGAGACTCAAGAGGGTGAGTGCGGGTGTGTGTAACTGTGTGAGAGAGACTCAAGAGGGTGAGTGCGGGTGTGTGTAACTGTGTGAGAGCGACTCAAGAGGGTGAGTGCGGGTGTGTGTAACTGTGTGAGAGCGACTCAAGAGGGTGAGTGCGGGTGTGTGTAACTGTGTGAGAGAGACTCAAGAGGGTGAGTGCGGGTGTGTGTAACTGTGTGAGAGCGACTCAAGAGGGTGAGTGCGGGTGTGTGTAACTGTGTGAGAGAGACTCAAGAGGGTGAGTGCGGGTGTGTGTAACTGTGTGAGAGAGACTCAAGAGGGTGAGTGCGGGTGTGTGTAACTGTGTGAGAGAGACTCAAGAGGGTGAGTGCGGGTGTGTGTAACTGTGTGAGAGAGACTCAAGAGGATAAGTTTGGCTGTGTGTGGTTCATTCATGATTGATTGAATAGTGTTAATTGGCTTTAAGACACGTCCCTGTCGTCGTGAGAGCTATCATAGAATGACTGCGCATGGTGATGGGTCATACATGCGCATGGTGATGGGTCATACATGCGCATGGTGATGGGTCATACATGCGCATGGTGATGGGTCATACTTGCGCATGGTGATGGGTCATACATGCGCATGGTGATGGGTCATACATGCGCATGGTTTTAGCCGACTTGGAAATCGCCTTGATCACTTCTTGATGCTCCTTCATTGTTTCTAGTCGACTCAGCTTGACTAATGCATCCTCGTTGTTGCAAATTATTGGTCATCTGGAGGGGGAAAAGACTAGCCTTGCTTATTGCACACTCGCCTCTTTGGATGCTCCTTGCTGCATGCAGGGGATCGGTCGTCTGGAGGGGGAAAAGACTAGCCTTGCTTATTGCACACTCGCCTCTTTGGATGCTCCTTGCTGCATGCAGGTGATCGGTCGTCTGGAGGGGGACAAGAGGGAGCAGGAGCAGATGATAGCAGTGGGCAGGCAGCAGGTGGACACTCACAAGCGCGTCATTGAGATGCTGGTGGTGAGTTGGTTCTCTGTTCTGTGTACCCTGAGAGTACCATGCGTGCACTATGTATGTGTTATCATGTGCCTGACATCACGGGCAGGCAGCAGGTGGACACTCACAAGTGCGTCATTGAGATGCACGTGGTGAGTCTGGTGCTGTCTGTGCCATGGCAGCACTATGCGTGCCCTATGTGCTACCAGGCGCCTTATATCACGGGCAGGCAGCAGGTGGACACTCACAAGCGCGTCATTGAGATGCTCGTGGTGAGTCTGGTGCTGTCTGTGCCATGGCAGCACTATGCGTGCCCTATGTGCTACCAGGCGCCTTATATCACGGGCAGGCAGCAGGTGGACACACACAAACATATCGTTGAGATGCTCGTGGTGAGTCTGGTGCTGTATGTGTGGTTGGCGAATATACAACCCTTCTATGCCATGTGCCATGTGCCAACCATGTGCCATGTGCCAACCATGTGCCATGTGCCAAACATGGGCGATGTGCCAACCATGTGCCATATGCCAACCATGTGCCATGTGCCAACCATGTGCCATGTGCCATGTGCCAACCATGTCTCTCCCACTCTCCCACCTTGCCATGCCTCCTCCTGTCTGCAGGAGAAGGGCCAGACGATGCAGCAGCAGATGGTGGCCATGGAGAAGCGAGCACTCACAGCCGAAGGGTGAGACGAGGGAGGGCAGAACGGTGGAAGGTTTTTGGTGCGGTGGTAAGGTTGTTGGTGTGGCACCAAGGCGTGATAGGACTGGGAGAGCCAAAAAAGGCCTTGCAGATGGTGGTTATGGAGAAGACAAGCAAGGGGTTAGATGACAAGTGACACAGTGGGAGGCGCTTGGTGCAGTACCAAGGTGTGAAATTGCAGGGCAGGCAACGGCAGCACAGCCATGCAGGTCCAGCCAGCAGCAAGGCAGCAACGCTGGTTCTGAAACGTCTCAGTGTTTGAGAGGTATGTGTGAGAGTCCTCGACACAGCAAATGGCGAAGTTCCTGTTATTTCTATGATTATCCACATAATTTATTCCTGATTTCCCCGCTCCCTCTCCTCCCTTCCCTCCCCCCAGCATGGCCCGGGCCTTTTTGGAGATCTCTGGGGCAGAGAAGGGCTACACGACGTTTGGCTCCGCAGTGGGACTTGAATCCTCCTACCTGCCCTCCGGTGCTGACCTTGATGCACTTTCCCACTCGCCTCTACCGTCCCCAACCTCGTTAGTAGCATCCTCGTTATCATCAGTGGCATCGTCGTCAAGTACAGAGCAATTGCCATCAGCAGTAACTGTGGAGGGCAAGGCAAACACATTACAAGCGTCGTCGTCTGGAGAAGGGAGGGGCAGCAGCAGACCTGCTGTGCCAAACACCATGGCTACACCTACTGCATAAATTATGAGTGCTATACCGTATAATATACCATGGTCACCAGCGCAAATAAATATATAAACTAACATGAGAATTGTAAAGCCTGCTGCTTCTATGTAGTCTCAACTCAACCTGCTGCTGGAAAAATAGGGTTTATTAAACACCCTCCCTCCTTCCAAACCTCTGCACTATGTGCCGTAACTCCCTGTGCGCAAGCTAACCCAACCACCTCCTTGCCATGTACTTCTCCCCTGCAGCCTGTACCAGTTTTCACATGTGCCGTACGTAGCTGACATCAGCAATGGGTTTGATGCATTCACACCCCACACATGCTGCTATTGTATCAGCAAATCTATCCCTCCTCTCCCCTCAATGCTCCCACTAAATTGCAACAGCTATCCATCTAGCACCTTGGCCCAAGCCAATGCCTCCTCCACCCTCACCCCACCAGCCTGCAGCAGCTGCACGTCCACCTGGTTGCGACCCACAATCGTATCCAACACCTCCCCATGCACCTGCGAGGCAAACGGCCTCGTTGCCTCCCACCCCGCCCTCACTGCATTCTCCAACGCATTTCCTTCCCCCCGGCCTATCCTGAACCCCAGCGCTGCTTGTAACACAGTTACCACATCCCCTGCCATGTCGTATCGTGCGACAGCAACTGTCTGTTTCTGTGTTGCTACTGCTAACGGAGCTGCTGTAAGGGGGATGTTTAGAACCCGGGATACGGCCCGGGAAAGCCGGTTATCTGTGGTGAGATCTTCTTGATTCGTAGAAAGAGATTGCAGGTGGTGTGTGAGGGCGTGGAGAATTCCAAGTTAGTAACGCCTGCTGGCACGGGCATGCCAGGGTAGAGGTTCTTGAACCAAGCAGGGGCGTTTTGGGAGTTGGCGGAGTAAGAGAGATAGTCGGTTGCGAGAGCGAGGGAGATGTGGTGGGGGAGGAGGAGGAAGGTGAGGTTGGAAGGGGAGGGGGGGAGGAGGAGGGGGAAGGAGGGGAGAGTGTAGTTGGGGCAGGAGGAGAGGGAGGAGCGGAGGGAGGCTAAGGCGGCAGGTACGGTGGCGAGGGGAGGTATGGCGAAGGCTCGGAAGGTTGTGGTTCGGGAGAAGTGGGAGCAGAGGAGAGCAGAGACCTGGCGCCACTGGGGAAGCTGCCAGGAAAGCGCATGGCAAGCAGGGGGGAAGAGCATGGGTGGGTGGGAAGAGTGGGGGGTGCGAGTGGAGAGAGAGAGGGGGAGAAAATGAGCGTGAGGAAAGGCAGGAGAGAAGAGACAACAGTGTTGTGCACGATCATAGCACTCCCATTCAACCTACAAGACAGCTCAGCTTTTTGAATTTTGTGGGGAGATGCTTCAACATGTCTTCACCACGCCCTTAAAATTGTAAAGATTTTGCAGCAATTTACAGCACATGACAATATTTTAAGTTACAAAACTCATGGCATTCCGGAGGTGTGTGTTACACAATTTCTGTAACACTCGACTTCACCATTTCAGCTGCTGACTCATCAACCGGTCTCTGATTGGCCTGAAATTTGATGTGGCAGTTCTTTGCCGCGAGGTGCTAGTGGTCACCAAGTGTCACGACAACCCAGCATCGGAGCAGCATGTGACAGCTGTCGAAAGTCACAGATTCGTTGTCATGATGCACTGCTGGCAGCATTTCCCTTGCCATCCTTTCATTGTTGTCATGCCAATTGTGTAGAGACAGAGAACGAGACAAGTACATGCTCCTGGGAGCAAGGTGCGCTGCGTGGAGGGACAGCAGTGGGGGGGGGGGTGGAATTGTGGTTCCTTCTTTCCATCTCACCTGGAGGATGGGAGGCTGAAGGAAGAGCGGCAGAGCAGCAGGGGAGCAGCGCACGATGCCCCTGACAGGGGAAGCGAGGGTCCACTACCCCGGTGATACGGGGCCAGCGGCATGGGAATGTGGGCCTTACTAACCCCTTCACCTGGGGAATGTGGGCCTTACTAACCCCCTCACCTGGAGGATGGGAGACTGGAGGAAGAGCGGCAGCGTAGCTTGGGAGCAGCGCACGATGCCCCTGACAGCGGGGAAGCGGAAGCGAGGCGACACGATGCCTGTGATGCTGGGGGCAGGGTGGGCGGCCTGCATGGGCAGGGGCAGGCGCGCTTGGGCTAGGCGGGCAAAGTCGTCCGGTTGACCGGAGAGCAGAAACGGGAAGAGATCCTGGTTTGGGGATTGGGGGGGGGGGGGGAGGAGGGGAGGAGGGGAGGAGGAGATGGGGGTAGGAGTAAGAAGGTGCCTCAAAACGAGCTTGCCCAAAATTGTCTGGAGATGTCTGGCTGCAGGGGCCGGGGCAGCCGCGCCTGGGCTAGACGGGCAAACTCGTCTGGTTGACCAGAGATTAGAAAGGGGAAGAGATCCTGATGTGGGGAGGGGAGGAGAGGAAGGGGAAGAGATCCTGATGTGGGGTAGAAACAAGAGGGTGCCAGTTCAGCTAAAACGGGGCAGGCACGCACATAGGAAGCAAACGCCCCTGTCGAACCCATACGATACAAATCCATAGAAAGCAAAAGAGGCAGGCAGCTCCTTCATTCCACTCACCCCATAGGTAGAGAACAGGTCAGCGAGGCAGTTGGCAGGTGGGCAAACCCAAAGGTTGATCACATTACGTCGGAGTGAGCAAAGAGCCCCCTGCCTGCTGCTGCTGCTGCTGCCCTTCTAATGCTCCTTCTGCTGTGCTTCTTGACCTCTCCCTCCCACACAACCACCCCACTCACCCCATAAGTGGACAGCGGTCCAATAAGGCAGTTGGCAGGGGGAGGTACCCCAAAGTTGATCAAATCGTAATGAGCAAAGAGCCCCCCGCCTGCTGCTGCCACAGCCAGCCAGCGAGTCACGATGGGCTGTGAAAAGTGGAAAGGGAAGGGGAAAGTGGGAACAGGCAGGGGATTTTTTGGCTCTTACCTCCTGGTATTCAAAATGCCCTTTAATCCCCACCCCCTACTTCCCCCCTCCCCACTTCCCCTCCCAGCACCACAACCACCGACCCTCCTTCCTTCCCCCCCATTCCCCCGTCCCTCCCCCCATTCCTCCCTCCCCCCCCCATTTCCCCCTCCTTTCCCCCCTTCCCCCCCTCCTCTTTATCCCACCCTTCTCCCCTCCTCTTTCCCTCCCCTTCCCCTTATTTCCCCCTCCCCTTCCCCCCTCCACCTTCCCCTTATTTCCCCCTCACCTTCGTTGCCAACCCCCCCACCCCCTCCACTGCACGTCTCAGCATCTCGTTATATTCCCCATGCCCTTTTATGCTCTCCTCCCCTCGCAGCACCACCGGGACCCACCCCGCCTTGAGCCAACTCAGCTGCCACACATGCACCAGACTGAGGGGGAAGGAGGGAAATGGGGAATGGAAGAGTGGGTAGCAGGTGCAACAAACGGAACCAGCGAGTAACAAAAAGGGGCTACAAAATGGGATTCGCCATACACTGGGGGGCTAGACAGTCACTAAGCAGACATACAGCCACAACAGTACATCCATACAATCACTACACTAAGGGATGCGCCTCAGAAGCCATACAGTCACCCACACCATACAGTCATTCATTCACTCATACAGTCACTCACTCACACCATACGGTCGCTCACTCACTCATGCAGTCACTCACCTCGCCCCCTCCTCCACACCCCCACAACTTGACTCGGATCAAAGGATGTCAAAACCTGCACTCCCCGCCACCACGCCTTTTGAAGGGCCTAAAAAACCATACAGTCACTCACCATACAGTCACTCAACCTCACTCACAAAGTCACTCACACCATCTAGCCATTCACACCATACAGTAACCCACCTCGCCTCCTGCTCCACATCCCCCACCACTTGACTCGGGTCAAAGAAGGTCAACACCTTGCACTCCCCACCGCCACGCCTCCCACTCTCCCCCATCCCATTTTCTCCCTTTTCGACCCCTCCTCCTGCTCTTTCTCCAGCACTTGTCCTTCGCGTGCCTTCCGTCCCCCCCTTCACCTCCTCCCCCCCAGCTGCCCCCCACGAGCTCGATTCCCCAAAATCGTACTGCCCATCTGAGCCTATCCCCAAGCCTGCACGTTCGGGCAGGAGGTTCGGCAGGGGGGCAAGGAGGGTAAGCAGGTTTGGGGCGGTCAGGTTCGGAATTTGCAGCTCCGGAAGCAACTATTCAGGTGAGATGCCTTGTTGGTTGAAACGCATTGTTGGTTGATCGAAACACCTGGTTGTGAGAAACACCTGGTTGTGAGAAATGACTCCTTGGGCGAGACGATTCAACAGACGAGCGGTTTTCCAAGTATCCATCCAGGGATGGTAGCGGCAGGTGGCTATCTCTCTAATCTATCTCTTTCTGAGCTTCACTGTTCGCTCTGGCCCGCTTGCCATCTGCTTCAGTTCAGATGCATGCAGCTCCCTGGGAGAAGGTGATGACGTGGGAAGTGGTGACAAGGGAGGTGGTAACCTCGGAAGGTGGTAAATCGGGAAGGTGGTAAATCGGGAAGGTGGTAAATCGGGAAGGTGGTAAATCGGGAAGGTGGTAAATCAGGAAGGTGGTAAATCGGGAAGGTGGTAACCTCGGAAGGTGGTAAATCGGGAAGGTGGTAAATCGGGAAGGTGGTAAATCGGGAAGGTGGTAAATCGGGAAGATGGTAAATCGGGAAGGTGGTAAATCGGGAAGGTGGTAAATCGGGAAGGTGGTAACTGCTGATTGCTTAGTGAAAGATAGATTCGCCCTCCCTGCCTCTCGACCTGCTTCTCCTCACCCCCTTCCCAGCCTGCTTCTCCTCACCCCCTTCCCAGCATGCTTCCCACCAACTGTCCTTCCAACCCCCTCCTCCTCACTTGCATCACTCTCCTTAGACCCGCCCTACTCTCCTGCTACCTACACTCCTCTCCTCCTCAACAAAACCTTTCACCTTATCCTTTCTTTTCCCCCCTCTTCCCCCCTCCCTCTCCCCCACCTCCAGATCTCACTGACTTTGCCCAATCCGCCTTCCCTCCTATCCCTCGCTCACACGAAGCTACAAGGAAGCACCTGCCTGTGAAGCCACGGCGCTCCTGCTTATGGCCGCGGCGAGTCTCAACTCAAGCAGCTACCCTGCCACGTTCCGACGATTAAAGCGCCCTAAAACGAGGTTCTGCTCCTGCTGATGGAGGCTCCACGAGCTGGCACATTTCGCAGCTGCGATTTACACCCTGACTCCAAGATTAGACCTAGATCTGGATGGATCCAACTCTGCTTCTGGATGTGAATATCCTAATCTAAGCTAAAATAGATCTCGAATCTAAAAATGAGCTGAAGCAATCTCACTGAAGTAGGTATGAGATTGTGATTGCGTCAACATCTGCATCTGCTGCTCCGGCCACGCGGCTCACCGTCGATCCAAGCCCCCTATTTCCCTCTGCCTAAGCTACAGCTGGCGTGCATCAGTGCCCATTCATTCCCAGTGGCCCTTAAGTGAGAGTGCATCAACGACAACACCAGCAGCTGTGGGGGAGGCGGTGGCAGCAGAAGCAGCAGCAACCTCGAACATTGTCTCTTAAGGTCAATGCCTTTCATTGCGCCGAGTGCAACGGCTAAAACTCTCTCCCGAGCAATCAAATAGAATCAATAGACGAGACAGTTGCAGGTAAACCTTAAAACCGGGGTGCACATTCAGCTGAATGTGCATCAAAGGTTATCCCTTGACTGAGTGGGTTACGAGGTGTGCTTTCAACCCCTTCAAGTCGAAATTCGTTTCCCCCCTCCCCCGCAATTTCGTTTCCCCACGCCCCCGCAATTTCATTTCCCCCTCCCCGTCGAAATTCGTTTCCCCCCTCCCCCGCAATTTTGTTTCCCCCCTCCCCCGCAATTTCGTTTCCCCCCCCTCCCGCCAATCTGTTTCATCCCTCCCGCCATTCGGTTTCACCCACTCCCGCCATTTCACCCCCTCCCGCCACCTACGAAATGCCCGAAGCTCTAGCGGAATCATTTTTTTGTCGCCCCTCGTGAGCCAATCACTGTTTTTCTCCAAACCCCCTTCCCAACATCTCAAGCCGAACCGCGTTGAATGTGCACCCTGGTTTTAATCGAAGTTGTCAATAATACACCGATCGAATTTAAAAAGGTGGGAGGTAGCAGCAGCAGCGGCAGCAGTGGCGGCGGCGGCGGCGGCAGCAGCAGCAGCAATGGCGGCGGGGGCAGCAGCCAAGCGTCTGCGGCCCCACCACGAGCCCCAAAGGCTCCCCCCACGCTTCCCACTCCCACCCACTCCCCCCACTCACTCCTTCCCCTCCTTCCCCTCCTCACAAGTTGAATCAAAATTCACCCCGGTGTTGTGAAACAAGGTGCTACTTGCTACGAGGCAACAGCGTGAGCAACCAGGCGCCTATGGCCCCACCATGAGCCCCAGAAACTACCACCGCCACCGCCACCGCCACCGCCCCTCCCACTCCCACTCCCATCTGCTGCCCCCACTCCTTCCCCTCCCCTCTCCACCTCCTCCCCCTCCCCAGGCGCAGCAGAGAGGCTCTTTAAATCCGCGTCCTTCAAGAGGGAGTGCAGAGAGGGGATGGGCGTGGGCGGGGGTAGTGGCGCCCCTGCTGCCACGGCTGCTTCTATTGATGCTGCTGCAGTGAGTGCTGCTGATGGTGCTGCTGCTGCTGAGAGGGGAAAGAGGAGAGGGTCCTCCCCTGTATGGCTCGCCAACGTATCAGGAACTGCTCCTCTTGTCGCTCCTGCTGCTGCTGGTGCGGCAGCTGCCGCCGCCGATGGTGGTAACGACGGTGGGGATGCTAGTGCTCCTGCTGCTCCTGCTGGTGCTGCTGTTGCCGGTGCAGGTGCAGCTGCAAGTCCCGAATTTAAAAGCTTTCCACCTGTTCCGCCCGAACCTCCTGCCGAGAATGGACCGTTAGGTCCGGCGGGAGCTTCGGCATCAGTCAGCCGCCAATACAGGTCACTTTCGCGCTGCGCCAGCTCAGCTTCTGCTGCATCCAGGCGACCTATGCTCTTCGTCTTATCCTCGTTAATAGTCTCCTCGAGATCCGCTAAAGACTGCTCCAATTCCTCAAGAGTAGCCTCTACCTCTACATTCTCCGATTTTCCAATCCCATTTTTCAACTCTTCACCGTTTTTCATGCTCTTATCTTCCGCCTCTATTCCCCACAACCCCTCTGCACCATACTCGCCATAATCACCACCGTTAAAGGAACTTTTCGGAACATTAGCACGGGGGGAAGCGGCAGGCGCGGAGGCAGGATCCCCGCGAAGAGCGGCCGAACGAGCTGATGTGGCTGCCGCGATAGGCGCCATAGCAGCCGAATCTGGATTTGCTGACGTGGCGAAACCAGGTGGCGATGGTGGTTGCGCTCCTGCTACAGCTGCCGCTGATACTTCCGGAGCAGATGCAGCACCGGCTGTAGCAGCGGTTGTAGCAGATGCTGCAGCAGCAGGCGCAGCGGCAGGTGTGGCGGCAGCTGTAGCGGCCGAGCTTGAGTTCGGATCCGCAGAGAACGTGACTAAATCGGCGACAGGTTGTGGGCCTGTATCCGAACGAACTGTGACTGTATCGGGGGAAGGAGCGGTGGCGGAAGAGGGAGAAAAATCGGACGGCGGGGATTGAGCAGAAGAAAAGGGTTCGGCGGGATTCGAACCTGAGAGGGCCATCGAATTCGTCGACGCGGAGCCGTCCCCGCTATAAGGTGATGATAGCCACCAGACGACGATAAGAAGCAGAGCCCCTGCGACGGCTACGAATCGCCAGTTCAGTCGCCGCGTCACAGGGGCGACATCGAACGGCTCCACGTCAGCGTGCCGATCGAACGGCTGAAATCGACGGCCACGAAGCTCCCCGGTCGCGTGCGACTTGAGCGGCACGCGATCCTCGTCGTCCGCCATGGGCGTGCTTTTATCGAGGCGCCGATTAACGAATAGAAGAGGGTTTGCTAATCTGCAGGCGGCGCCTAAGATATAAGAATCGAATCTCCGTCTAAGAGGACGGCGAACTCAAACCAAGTGAGCCGCCTACGTGGTGGTACGGCCGGAGCGGCACGACCGACACGCGCGCTGCCTTGGTGCTTTGCTATTGTGGTTTGCCTCGGTGAATATGAATCTTGCGGTAATGCTGTTGCCAGATAGTGAAGAATGATCTGGCAGCGAAAATAACTAGTCTGGGACTGGTGCGAAATCTGATGCTTCTCTCAGTTCGTCAACGCTCGCGGCATTTCGCCAACAGGGAAAGTGGTGATTCTCGCTAGCGATACGTAGCGAACGAGAGATTGCCCCCGATTGCCCCAAAAAGTCCCTAGAGCTTCTCGGAAATTGCGAGTTCATCTGCACCACGTCCTTACTCCCTCGGAAATTCGCTGTCACTGTCGCCGACGAACCCTTAACTGTTTTCCCACTAATTCTGCGCACTTGCTTGGTAATTTTCTTTCTTAAGACTGCCACTTTCCCTCACCACATCATTCTTCCACATACACCACCGGCAGACTCCACGTTCTCCTGGGGAAAAGGTTATTTTTTTCGTCGCAAGATGTCTGCTGCTCACTTACATCCCGCCCCCTCCGCCTTCCTCGCGCCCCGCGCACGTCATCAGCCTCGCAATGCACCCGCTTCCCCGCTCGCATGCGCAGCCCCCACCAGCACCCCAGTCCTCCCCAGATCACGCGCTACGAATTTCCTTCCCGTCGAATCGCGCGCGCAGCGAACGGCCGCTGTACCTATTCGTTCTTGTGCTGCGAGAGTCGACGCACCATCCGCGAACCCCGGAACGCGATGGGGATTGTCGGCGACGGTGCTCCGTGCGACACATGATGGCGACGGCGGCGGCGTCGCGCCGACCAGTAGCGAGTCGCGCGGATTCGATATAAGACGCGTGGAGCAGTACACCGAGAGAGTAGGTGACGGGTAGACTAAGCAGGGCCAGGGGAACGCTAGTAAC